GGGACAATTTGCAAGGAGTTTTCAGTGCTTCTAGGTTTTTGTGATCAGTCCATACCTCGAAAGGCACCTTGCTCCCTTTTAGATAGTGTCGTCAGTTTAATAGAGCCCATCAGATTGCAAAGGCTTCCTTCTCCCACACAGCCCACCTCCTCTTGCACTCTGAATTTTTTTGAGGTGTAGGTGCAGGGTTGTAGGATCCCACTATGGTTCTTTTACAATAACACAGTTCCAATGGCCACATCGCTGGCATTGGCCTGAATCACAAAGGGCAAGGATGCTTTAAAATCAGTTTGACCGCAAATAGCCCTTTTAAATTCTCAAAAGCGGTTTGACAGTTCATAGTCCATGCTAATGGTTGGCCTGGACATGGCTTTCCTTTCTCCTTGCCTGTTTTCAATAATTCCGTTAGGGGTTAGGCAATTTCAGCAAAAGAAGGGATGAACTAGTGGTAGAAGTTGGCGAATCCCAGAAAGCTCTGGAGTTGTTTGCGAGTCTTTGGGGTCTGCCATTCAACTACAACTTTCACTTTGGTTGGGCCCATTTCAATGCCTTCGCTGGAAATTCTGTAGCCAAGATAATCTAGTTGGGTCTGGTGAAACTCACACTTTGATAGTTTAACATAAAGTTTGGCATTCAACAGTTTCTTGGGCACTTCTCTTACTAGTTTTACATGGTCACTCATATTAGTTCTGTATATCAGGATGTCATAAAGATACACCAAAACCCCTTTGTATAAATGGTCATGTAGTACCTGATTGATCAGCTGCATAAAGTAAGCTGGAGCTCCCTGTAGTTCAAAGACTTTAAATTGGTAGCTCCATATGGGACAGTTAAAGGCAGTCTTCCACTCATCTCCTTCCTTTATCTTCACCCAGTACTATGCCTCTCTCAAGTCCAACTTAGTGAAGACACTCTCCTTTGCCAGATGGGTTAGTAAGTCCTTCAGGAGGGAGAGGGGGTATTTGTTTTCTATGCTCACAGTGTTCAGATCTTTATAATCCATGCAGAGACAAAGCAATCCATCTTTTTTTTCTTTAAATAACACTGAGGCTCCTACAGCAGACTTGGCCCATTTGATAAATCCCCTTGCTAGGTTTTTGTCCATGTACTGCTGCATCTCCTCCATTTCAAGAGGGGACATAGCTTACAGTCTCAGTCGTGGGAGTTTGGCTCCCTGTAACAGTTCGATAGAGCAATCATTAAGTCAGTGGGGAGGCAGGGTGTCACATTCTTTCTCACTAAATGCCTCAGCTAGGTCCTCGTACTTGCTGGGGATGAGTGAGTCCCTTCTTCACCAGATAAATGGCTTCCATTTGTTTAACCAGGCTAGCCCTAGGATCACAGCCTCAGTCATTTTCAGAGCCACCATGAAATGAATGAACTCCCAGTGCTCACCTATTTCTAAGCATAGGGGTTCAGTCAATTGCATGACTAAAGTTCCTCCCATTAGGGAGCCATCGGCTTGCTCAAACCTCACAGGTTTGGAGAGCAGCTTTGCTTGTATGCCCATTTTCAGGGCAAGTGACAAGCTAATAATGCACCAGGAGCATCCAGGGTCCACTAGTACTTTCAAATCTACTTGTGCCCTAAGTTTGTCAGAAAGTGAAAATGTGGAATGTGTCGACTCACCATCGGGTCGTTCTCTCCTTCGTCGTCGCTGTCGTAGGAGGGTAGAGTGGCAGCAGGTCCAGCTTGGGTTTCGGCACCCTCCTGCGTGGGGGACATGACTTGGGAAACAGGTTCCTGCACAATCCAGTTGGATTTCTCTTTTGCTGGCTGCTGGGCTGGTTTCTTTCTCGCTGGTGGTCCCAGTCTATTCTGCTGTTGAGGGTAAGGGACTGGGCAACTCATTGTTCGATGTCCCTGTTGTCCACATCTGAAGCATTTGATCGATGGGTCTGCAGGTGGCCTGAGATTTTCAGTAGCTGCAGCGGTTGAAGGCTTTTGGGGGGGGGTGGCTGCTGTTTGGGTTGATCTGGCTTTGGCTCGGCTTCTTGTGGAGGTGGCTTCTTATAGCGGGCAAGCTGGATCTCCAGTCTTACTGCTGCCTGGTACCATTCTTGGAACTGATTAGGGACTGCTTGATAGACACAAGCGTGGGAGAGGTGGTCGTCTAGTCCCTCCTTGAAGTGATGGACTAGGGATTGCTTGGGCTACCTCTCTATTTGGCCAGCTATCTTGCGAAACTCTCATATGTATTCCAGTGCAGGCCTGCCAGCTTGTCTTATCTTGTGGACTTGCACCTCTGCTTTGAGGGCGATGGATGGGTCCTCGAACCTTGCTCTCAGTCCTAGGAGGAAGAGATGGGGGTCCCCCAACTTGGGTGCTTGCTCGTTGTATAAATTGTACAGCCGCTCGGATGCTTGCCCTTCCAAGCTGGACACAACCACATCGACCATAGTGGCTGGGTTCAGGTAGAAATAGGCACAGCTGTTCAAGTGAGAATGCACCTGGTTGAGGAAAAAGATCAGCTTCTCCAGGTCTCCATCAAAGGTTGCTCTAAGAGGTGGTGCCATCAGTGGCTGCTGCGCTCCCCAGGGAGCCTGCATTCCTGGTGGTTGCTGGCCTCCCCACTGTGGATGTTGCACCCCCAATGGTTGCTGGCCTCCCTATAGCAGCTGCTGCATCCTCAGTTGCTGCAGGCCTTCCAGCAGTTGTTGCATGTTCAGGGATTGTTGCCACCCCATGGCTGTTGCTGCATTGCTGGCAGCTGTGGCATCCCCAGTTGCTGTATGACTGCCAATGGTCTCAGCGGCTGCTGAAATGGCACCCCCAGTTGCTGTGGGCCTGCCAGTGGTTGCTGCATGTGCGGGAGCTGTTGCCACCCCCACTGCTGCTGACCTGCAGGCGATTGTGGCATCCCCAGTTGTCATAGGCCCCCCTGTGGCCCTGGAGGTGGTTGTTGCTGGATCCCCATTAGTTGCGGGCCCCTTAGCGGTTGCTGCACGTTTGGAGATGGCGGCCAGCCCCACTGCTGCTGCTGTACTCCCAGCGGTTGCTGATCCCCTAGTGGCTGTATCATTCCTTCTGCTGCTGCACATTCGGGGGCTGCAGCCACCCCCAGTTCGGTTGCTTCACCGCCAGCGACTGCTGGCCTCCCATCTGTGGGAAATCCCTCATTGCTGTATGGGCCCCAGGCTGGGTGGCCGGTAAGTGTGTCGATCCAGGCTTCGGCTGTCCTGGTGACGGTTTGGGCTCTTATCTCGCTGGCGGTGATCTGGGCTTTTGGAATGGCAATGACTGGAGCTGTCTCTCCCCACGGGGCTGGAGGCCATGGTAGATGGCTTCGAGGATGGGGAAGCTGCTTGACCTGCACAGGTGGGACTGGGACTTCCCCTTGGCATGAGTTGGTGGCTGCCTTGCCAATTGCTTGGGTATGGAGAACGGGAGGGTTGTTCTCCACTTTTCATTTCTAGCTCCTCAAATCTTTCCACCAACTTCTCCACTGATTGACTACAGATTGCGGACAGGTACTTCCACTCACCCGAGTCCTCGATGGTAGTCAATTTTGTAGTTCTCCACCAGTCCAGGGAGCATGACTTGCGGGAAGCCCCTCCTTGCAGCTCGACCTCATCCGCCTTCAAAGCACTTGATTGTGTCAAGGCTGTCTCAAAGTGTCTAGAGTCTCCACTGAGTAAGGTTCATTCCGATGACCAGATCAGTGTCCTTGCAGCTTAGGTCTTGCCCCCATCTGAGAGACCTGAAAAAGTTCCTTCTCCACCAGCATGCTGGCCTGTTTTCCTTCCTCTGAGGGAGCAACCACTGCCGGGGTGCTGGTTTCAGACGCTCCTTCTTTTTCCATGTTGAGATATTTCCCGAATCTTTGTCAGTCTATCCCTCAATTCTAGGGACAGCGATTGGGGCTCGGGACCCCAAGATAGTTAGGTAAACATTGGAGTTTTTGGTTTAATGTCATGGTTCTGACAGCTGAAACTCTTCAAAAGAACTTTGAGGTATTGTTTACCTTAAAGAATCTTTTACTCGAGAAACAAAGTATCGGCACTACATAGCTGAAACCAAAAACTAAATTCCCCTCCCCTGGATCCAAAGTAATAAAGCACAATTCCCTCCTCCAACAAATAGTCATAAATCACATTTCTCAATTAGCTTGAAATGCGGGCTTTTCCCCCAGCTCTCCAGCCCGTCAAAACTCTATCAACGCTAGCTCAATAACCTTGGGTTCCCATGGCTGAGTTATTATTGTTATGACTAGCTGGACTCTCATCCACATTCCCCCTCCCAGCATCAATTAACTCTAAAAGCAATAGAGAAAAATGACTGTATTTCCATCTGTTGTCAAAGCAAGAACATCTGATGTTAGCAGCATTGACAATAAGTAGCCAACAAAACTGGGTTATTCCTGCAACTTAATCCTTGAAGAAAATATCCCATAGTGTAATGTTTTGCATGCATATTTAGTATTTATTTTTATTTATTAAATTGTTGTCCATCTCATTCTGCAAAGTGACTGCTTAGTATGCCTCACTGAGTTCACTGATTTTGCTCGATGAGTAAAGAATTGGGGTCTTGGGTTAAGTCATGTGTTTTTCAATATTTTTGTTTTGGAAGATGTTTACAATAATTCTATGAGGGGAAAAAAGAGACAGAGAGAGTCACTGTCTACAGCCATGAGATATAACCGCTAAAATCTTTTATATCTCTCATTGACTGCAATATGGGATCCACAATCTACTTTAAAATATTGTTGTGTAGTGTACTGAAGCAAAATATGCAAAATAGTTTGAAAGTGCAGCATAACTTCTACACATTGTTACTATGTGAAAATTTTGCAAGAGAGATTCAATGTCTTTTCTTCCTGAATTCCATCTGTCAAAAATACCCCACAATAAAAAAATAAAGCAAGCAAATAAAAACCATAAAACAATAAAAGAAGCCATTTGGATATAAAAATGAGAAAGGGATGATGAATTACTTTTGTTCATTCCACTACCTTAGGTTTTCTAGAGAAAATTTTTTGATATTTTTGTTAGCATTCTTACCTAGAGAGCATGCCCAGAGGTGTAACATTAAGTGATCCCATCAGCATTGCCAAGGCCATTCCTGGGGCCTCACGTTCTATTACTTCTTTAGTAGCCTGTAATCAAAGATTAAACAGTAGACTGAGTGAAAACTAGAAAAATAAAATATAAAGCTAAATAAAATTTCACCATCTTTTTCCTAAAATCAGTACAACATGGGATTTGAATGTGAATCAATTTGGGCATAAAATAATTATATACTTATCTCATTAAAATTAGCTTATGCCCATATATTCTGCTACAATCTCTGAAACTTATTCTGTATCAAAAATTGCATCTTTCAGTCACTGACCACAATAGTTTTTCATCTATAAATATTAAATATTATATTATTACTTTTGCCTGTTCCTTTAGATTTCTCCTGGAAATCCAAATATGCTGAACAGTTCAGAAAATTATTAGAAAGGATTGGCTCATATGGTCCTTCAAAATAGAGATGATTAAGTATTTTCTTTTCGTGGAAGATTTATATTTTCTGTCCCTTTCTGTTGATTCATGATATAAGAGATCTCCTTCTAATTGGAAGGCATTTGTATACTGAGGCAATCTTTGAGATTAAAATGGTAGCCAAATTTTAATTATATGATGCTATAATTTTTTAAAAAAGGAAAATCTAATTTAAAATGAAACTTGTATGTAATATAAATATATTTAAACAAAGTATACAATTATAATCTTAAAGTTGAATCCCTGGTTTTCAAAGAAATGAACAATTCCTTACAAAATACATGGATGACTCTTATAGTATGAGCTAATGTGAAGAGAAATAAAATTAGAGAATTACATAAGATTAGGCGGGACGAAGAAGAGGAATTTTAAGTTGGGAAATTCCTTCCTATGTAGATGATCTATATTTGTAGAAGCTTAGTTTTACTCCTATATTCTTTTGCCGTGGCTTTCATGACCATCTATTGATCATTAGAAGTGTTACTAGATGGACAAAGAAAAAGAAAACACCTAATTTTGTGTAGGATCAGATGGTTTAATGTATAGCTTAATTCTCCCTTTTTTTTCTGCCAGGTTTCCTAGAACATTTTTAAAGGAAAGGAAATCTGAAATTCAGGTAATTGGAAAAATGTACCAACTACCACAAATCATAATCAAGAACAAAACTATTAGCTGAAAACATTTGTTGATGACATAGTAGCTAAAATATAATATATGGATCTCATGGCCCGTTTTTAGCTATTATCCTATACACCTTGGTCCCATATCTTAAATTCCACATCATTTATGCCCCTAAAGCCTTCAGGCAGGCTTTAATGAGAATGTAATAAGGTGGATAATTGGATAATTCTGGTCCCAATCCTAAACCATTTTCTTCCCACATAGCAATATTTCCACTCCCATTACTTTAACTTTTTCTGCATTCATTAGGTGGAGAAAACTATGTTATTTAGATTCTGTTTTATAATGAAGAAAAAAATATTTTTTTCTTTTTCTGTTTTTTTTCCGGCAAGCTTCCTCATTATTCCATCTTTGGACATATAAGAATACCATGTCAGAATTCTAAGAACTGGACCAACATTGCTTAATCTAATTACTTATTGGCAAATATATGAATCACTTTAGGGGCAATAATGGAACTTTATTAACTTAATAAAATATGCCTATATAAAATTATATGAAGAACAAAAAGTTAATGAGAAAAAATGAATAATAATAATAATAGTAGTAGTAGTAAAGTTAGAAGGGACCTTGAAGGTCATTTAGTCCAACCCCCTGCTCAGGCAGGAAACCCTATACCACTTCAGACAAATGGCTGTCCAGTCTCTTCTTGAAAACTTCCAGTGTTGGAACATTCACTGCTTCTGGAGGCAGGTTGTTCCACTGATTAATTGTTCTTACTCTCAGGAAGTTTCTCCTTAGTTCTAGGTTGCTTCTCTCTTTGGTTAGTTTCCACCCTTTGCTTCTTGTCCTGCCTTCAGGTGCCTTGGAAAATAGCTTGACTCCCTCTTCTTTGTGGCAGCCCCTGAGATATTGGAACACTATCATGTCCCCCCTCGTCCTTCTCTTCATTAAACTAGACATACCCAATTCCAGCAGCCATTCCTTATATGCTTTAGCCTCCAGTCCCCTAATCATCTTTGTTGCTCTTCTCTGTACTCTTTCTAGAGTCTCATTATCTTTTTTGCATCGCGGTGACCAAAACTGGATGCAGTATTCCAAGTGTGGCCTTACCAAGGCAATGTAAAGTGGTATTAACACTTCACGTGATCTTGATTCTATCCCTCTGTTAATGCTGCCTAGTACTGTGTTGGCCTTTTTGGCAGCTGCAGCGTATTGCTGGCTCATATTTAGGTGATTGTCCACTAGGACTCTGAGGTCCCTCTCACAGTTACTACTATTGAGCAAGTTACTCCCTATACTGTACCTGTGCATTTGGTTTTTCTTGCTTAAATGTAGAACCTTGCTTTTTTCTCCATTGAATTTTATTTTGTTAGATAGTGCCCAGTGTTCAAGTCTGTCTAGATCCTTCTATATCTTAAGCCTGTCTTCTGGATTGTTGGCTATTCCTGCCAGCTTGGTGTTGTCTGCAAATTTGATGAGTTCCCCATCTATCCCCTCGCCCAAATCGTTGACGAAGATGTTGAAGAGCACTGGGCCCAGAATAAATAAGTAATAAATAAGTAATAAATAAGTAATGAATAAATTGAGATAAGAATTCATTTGCCACAAATGAATGATCAAACTAGATTCATATATGTTTGTGTGTGTATATGATTTCATTAAAAATATAAATCCTGGGCAGAGCCATACTATAAAAACAAATAAAAACGAACACCAGGATAAAATTTAAACTAAAAACGTTTAATCAAATGCCAAGCTCTCATCGGTCAGCACTACCAACATCATCAGGGTTTAAAACAGGTCGATGGGAGTCTTTTATAGCACTGGCCAGTTTTTGCGCACGACTCCTGGACCTCGTCATCAGTCCATCCAATGATCCTAATTGTTTGATTTCTGAGAGGCGTGCATTGGCTGTTTTCTTGGTGTTTTTTGAGGCTGCTACTCCATTGTTCACTTCCTGGACATCAAGTTTACAGGAGAGGAGGAGAATCATGGTTCCTTGGCTTTCCTAGATGTGCTAGTTAGCCGTCAGCCAGATGGAACCCTACATACAAGAGTGTACAAAAACCAACGCATACTAACAGAACCCTCCATTATAAGAGCAACCACCTGGTGACCCATAAAGCAAGTTGCGTTAGAACGTTGTTTAAACATATAGATTCACATTGCAGCACAGCCAAAGCAAGAGCAGAGGAAAAAAACCATCTCTTCCGCATCTGCAAATACAATGGCTATCTAGTGGAGTTCATCAAACATCACAGCACACCACCTAAACCTCAGGAGAATTCGCAAACCAGCAGGATGCCAACACAGGTTGTACGGGTCCCCCTCCCATATATCAACAATGTGTCTGAAGCAACAGCTAGGTTACAACATAAAGGTGGCCCATAAACCGGACCAGACGTTGTGATCTAGTTTCATGCGCCCCAAGGATCCACTCTCCAATGAAGAAAAATTGTCAGTGATATATAGGATTAATTGCAAGGACTGCCCCTGCAATTATGTTGGGGAGACCTCCAAAAGACTAAATACCAGGGTGCATGAACACAAGCTGGACGTTAAAAGGTGCAAACAGCACTCACAGGTATGGACATATATGACTAATCTTGGTCATCAGTTTGACCTCACCAATGTACAAACAGAGACACTACTAAAGGAGGCCGCCTACTTAAAGAGGCTTGGCTCTCCAATAAAAACTCGATAAACCGGCACATAGAACTCTGCCCGGCACATCAGGCATTGAGAACGTGGGATAAACAACAACATGAATCCCAATGAAAACAATCTACTCACCTGCCACAAGACCAGAGAGATAGGACAATAGAGAGAGTGAAAGTAACATCACAAACCATGGACAATCAGATAGTGGATAACTGTGAACAACCGGCAGACGATCTTTCCCTGGGGGTTTGTACACGTTTAAAAAGAGCATGAGAGCTGTCAAGTAGGGGAGCGGAGTCCAACAGGCAATCTACTGATGCCTTAGTGACACGGAGATGAGGATCACAAACAATGATCAAGAGGAGGGGTGACCATATCTAATGACAAAAAGGAGGTCCCCTGTATTCCTTAGAGCACCCATGGGGTGGAATAACACCCCCAATGAAGGCATGAAGATAAGAACATATTGGTCAAAAGCCCCCATACCAGATATCCGAATATGCTTGACAGATGACATCAAAAAGACCCGCACATGTACAGAAACAATGGGGCGCAAAAACAGGAGGGTGGAATCAAATGTACGGCATGTTGACAGCTCCACGATAAAGGAACGGTTGCGATTGAGGGAAGAGAATGAACCAGAGCGTCGCACACAATGTGAGGGCCATAACGATACGCACAAAACAAATGTCAAAAAAGGGGGGGAAGAACGAATGGCTACTCCAGAAGCCAATGGTGACATGATGGGCAACCACAGAAGCACGAGAAGGATGTTTGAAAGAAAAAGGGGGGAGGAAAGAACAACAAGCCCAGGACCCCACAAGGTGGGGATGAATGATAAGAGCAGAGGGGCAGAATTAAACACACAGTGCAGTGACACCCCCATGAGGAGAGAACGAATATGATCCAGGTTGAATGAAAGAAACAAATGAGAACGAGAGTTGCAACGTGATGACTGGAGTGATACGAATGAAATAAACATCAAAAAAAGGGAAGAGGAGAGAGTAGGGACCATAGAAAGCAACAAAGAAATAGAGTATGATCATGGAAACATGAGAAGGACGACGGAAGGAAAGGGGGAGGGAAAAACAGCAAGCCTGAAGCTCAGTAGGGTGAGAGTGAACAACTGGATACATATGAAGGAAACGAATGCCAAAAAAGGGGAGGGAAAGAACACGCTGGTTTTGGGAGTCTTTGGCAGGCTAATAGATAATAGCGTACGCACAAAAGGGGAGGGTGGAGGAAGGGAAGTGAACAACGGAATAGCAGCCTCGAAAAACACCAAGAAAACAGCCAATGCGCGCCTCTCAGAAATCAAACAATT